ATAAATAGAGCAAGTAGAGTAGAGCCATGTAGTCTTCTTGACTTGGGACTAATTTGAAACTGTAGGAAGTATTAGTTCCATCCCTGGTTTCATCCGAAGCGAGAGGGGCTGTCTTGTTGATTGTATCAACCTGAACGTTGTATTAAAGCTAGATAGCGGCATAACAGCGGAAGTCATCAGCTTCCTTTAGTTAGATAAACGAATTTCTCTTCGGGTACATTTTGTCGAAGTTCAGGTCTCCACGAAGGTATGGAAGCTTCACTTTTAAAATAGATTTTAGTGAAATCTGTCGCCTAAAAAGCTTTCATATCCAGGCCGAAGTGCAGGCTTGATATGCCTCCCGACTGAAGTCTTGAAAAGTGAACCTCGATAGACAGTGAAAAGCTGTCGAAATTCCGCCTTTCTTGCGTATCACTGTTTCAATATTCCAGCCCAATACCTTTATATCAATCCGACATAAGAATAAATCTCTTTTCCAATCGTGGCAATTGTCACGAATCTACTTAAACGATCTCTTCGACGAAGGAGAAATGGAGACCATGGTTGGTAATAAATAAGAAGACAGTTTAGATGGAGATTAACTGTGAAAGGAACTGTTAAAATTAAGAGCCGAGCATTCGATGGAATCGGATAATCTGTCAGAGCGAAAGTTAGCCAAAGAAAAACTCTATCCTAGGCGTACACGCCTAATAACTGGTTCCTCACAATGGACACTTAATGTTACTACCACTGGTTTCCTTCGTGGATGCACTGGTATAATTAAGATAAACAAGTAAAGTACCGACTATAGAGCCCATATGTACTCTCAGTTCCAACCTAGCCCTTGCATAATTATTGGATCAGGCGAGAATGAATTCAAGCCTGAACAAACACATGAGTAAAAGTGAACCCAAAACAAAGGATGCTCTTTACAAAGTTGTGATAAAGGCACGCAGAGTTGTTCGGAATTCGAAAAACTTGCGCAAGCCGTAAAAGTGACCTATACATAGCTTTTCACACATTCTGATTCACAGCATATTTGTACAAAATAATATATCACTGAGATAAGATGAGATTATAAGCGATATCATATTTTATCACATCATATAATATTAAATTAGTTGAAATAAGGTGAGATTATATTATATTAAAAGAGTAAAAAAGTTTTATAAACCAACATGAGATACGGAAAGCTGTAGAGATTATTACTGACACAAAAAGATAGCATTACACGAGACAAGTTAAATCAAGAAAAGATGTGATAAGCAATGAAAGCAGAAGATAGTATAATAGATAGAAAAGCGTAAACTAGATTATATCATAATTGAGTAGAGTAAATTAGGAAGATTCAATGTATAAATAATGGAGGTCAAAAGCGAAGCAGATCAATTCTGCTAACTTACGCCTCATTGTCAGACTCAGTGCTGTCCCACTCCTCAGTACTGATGGCCCCAAAGTCGGCAGCTGCTGAGCCCGACATCATTGGAAGGACAACCGCCTGATTCTGCAAGCGATTAGAGCCTTCACCTCTCTGGTCGGCAGAGCGCGCTCTTCGCATGGCAGATTCTTGGAGTCTCGTGCCTGGCGCGGTATCCGACTCTTCCTCGATGGACGCCTTTACATCTTCATCTTCAAACGTCAAGATTTCCCCATGCTCGCTGGAGAGAGAAAAAATGTCTGTAAGTGTATTTAAACAAATATGTAGTCGGCACTCATCCCATGGATAGCGTGGATAAAGTTTAAATGTATTCAACTCAAGCATTCCTTAGCATTCACGTAATGGCTAAACTATTAAATGAGAGACAAGGAAATAACACTGAAATTAGTGAACTCATCACTTTCGCTGAAGCATCGAAGGATATGTTGTAAAATTACTCTCAAATGGGAACATTTGGGCAGAGCAAAGCAGAATTAGAGAAAAGGAGAACACGAACTAAACTTCTACAGAATTGAATGAAATCGAATTCGGCTCGTATATCTCAATGACCATTCTACACAGGACAAGAGGAATACCTTAAAAAATAAGTTCAGCTAAAATATAAAAGATGCCTACAAAAACGCGATACAGACAGACATACATACAC